AGGGCACAGACACTTTCATGTGTAAACATAAACATATCATTCATACTTTACCCTGGTCTCCTGTAGATGCTGTAGGCAACAGCGACAGTGGCCACAGCTCCAATTACAGCAACAGCAGTTAGAATTTCACTTTGTTCCCATTTTTCTGTCCAGCAGCAAGAAAATTTACTTGCCTTCTTCGGAACTTGGTCTTCTTCTGAAGGTTCTTTCGACTTTACCTCGATTCGGCTACTTTTCCCTGAACTTTCATCTCTGCAACAAGTGAACCCATTACTGCCCTGGCAACAACCTGCTACTGTTTCCACTTTACTTTGATCGCCATTTTCTTGAACTTCATCCTTGTTTTTCCTTGTATCTTCTCCATTTGGAAGCTTTTGTTCAACTTCCTTTTGGACTTCCTCAGGATTTGTCCCCATTTGCCCTCTGGAATTGTAATTGTAATGTCAATTTAATGTTCTACTATTGGGTCGAAAATAAATGACAAAGGCAGAACCTAATAGTTGCAACCATGGCCCTTTTAAACTTATAAATTGTTCTTTGGGGTACAACATAAGGTTTAGAGGGTAGTCCATCTAAATCAGAAACAATAGAGCAACCGTGATCGAGATAGCTATAGAGAAGCCAAAGTGTCAGTCAGGTAGCTGTAAGGATTCCCTGACTATTTGATTGAAATAGAAGCAGTAAATGAACACAAAACAGAGAATCAATGGGAGAAAAACTCCAAGTCCAGTACATTAGGAAAGAAAATAGCATAGGCATCGCAGTGGCTATTGAATGCGATTTCTTCGCCGTTCTTAGGAATCCCCAATCACTCTCTTCTCTTGATATCATCCAAAGATGAGAGTTGTTGAATGGCTCTAGTGGGTTTTTATGATCCGATAAAGAATCAAACCTAGCCCCTTCTTCTCTGCTTTTCCAAAGGCCGAATTGTAAACTTCAAGAGAATGAAAAGAATAACTAAACACTCAGCAGATTTGAGAAAACAGGTAACCTCTGCTCCTAACCTGACTTGCCTGAAGTTTCACACCCCAAACAACATTCTGTGTATCCTACTAATACTACTCTCCCACCCAGACCCACACGTTCCACTTTAATCGTTGGGAACTGAATTCCTTTTTATGACCTTCCTCACATATACCTTCACTATAGGAGGTCTTACAGTAGTCAATGAATATATTGCACAACCCATTTAGGCCATCTATTGCGTGAAGCAAAGGATTATAGTGATGAATGATGACTACAATAAGATGTCCACTCAGAAATTTAATCGATAAAATAAATAACTCCAGCTTTAGAGTTCAACGCTCAGGTCTACTCAGTGTCCCACAGCAACAAGGGAAGATGGAAGGGTTCACAACACCAAATCCGAGGTACATATGAAAAATGGAGGGGATGATATGTCCATGATCTGTAAACTACATGATCAGAACTTTAGAGGAAAAACTGCTTATTGATACAAAATGCATCTCCGACAATATTATTGGGTGGACCAATAAAAAAGAAGGCTTCATCCTTATATCTTCGTTATTAGTATTCTCATACCAGCAATGATAAAATAAGTTTAGCATCCAGTTCGGGGAATAAAATGTAACTGGGAAAAAGCACAAACCTCAAAAGCCTTTCCACGACTTCGCCCTTTGCAATGTGCTGTTCAAACAATTCAGAGACATCTTCAGGAGTTACATATCCGTACCTGTAAACAAGAAAAGTAAACCCAAAATTCAACCAACATACACTTAAAAATATTCAGTTAAAGAGTTTGCTCTTTAGTAAATACATTAAGCACCAAGCTAGCTTTGAAGAATCTTACCAATGACCGGTGGTTTTCCCATCCACACCAGGTTGGTATATGATCAAGTTTCCAGCATACTTGTGTCCTCCAACGTGTGAACATGGACTAACATAAACCCGATCCTTTAGTCCTCGTAACCCAATCTCCTCCTCAAACTTTTGAATAAGAATGGGTCCACAGACACCACATCTCCGATCTCGACTAGCATGAACACACACAAACACATGAGAGCCAGTGAAAACCTCTGGCTCTCTGGATGCCCAGGGTTTATCATTCACAAGCACATCATCCACAAAGCCATCTACATCTGAATCTTCTAAACCCCTATAATCATCAAATCAAAATGAAGAAAAGTAAAAATGCCTTAGAGACTCAAACCGGAATAGATAAAACTTACGAGAGGAAAACAAACGAAGAACTTCAATGGAAATGAAAGGAAATACAACGAAACATAGAGCACAAATAACAGGAACAACACATTCCAATTCCTCCAAAATCTAACTGATTCATAATTTGTCTGGCCGCAGAATTGATATAATGAACTACATACAAAAATCCAAATTGTGGTAATTTGCTAGCGATCACATAACTTAAACGAAACGAATCCAGGAAACTAGTCAGGAAGAGTAATCTAATCCGGGAAATTGTGGTAATTTGCAAGCGATCACATAACTTCGTTATGTACTCTAACCAAAGAAGTCAACGCGAGATGAAATAGAGATGAACACAAGGATTTCATAATATTCGATAAAAACATCCACTATGTCGTAAAGAAATAACACAAAATATCTCTGCATGTTTAATTTTTCACATCCTGGAACTCTTGGCTAAACTAGATTCCCTTTAAACCTCGAAACTTACCTGTATTTGACCATTTCGGGGAAAATCAACACATCTCCATCCGAAAATCCAGTTTCTTCACGTCCCGAGAATATTGTCAGCTTCGTCTGAAAAAAAAACCAAATAAAAAGAAAAAGTTACAGACAAAGGCACATCCAATCCAATACGTGAATTCATCAATTCCAACAAAATCAAATCGAAAACGCCAAATCCCGAAGAAATATAATTTTCAAATATGGAAACAAACAACACCGATTCTATCAACGCAAACCTTGACAGAGAGATCATCCTTGCGAGCTTTGAGAGAGGCAGAAAGGAGTCTAGGGAGGACATCGGAATCAGACGCTTCAAGATGCGAGGGCCAGGCCTCCGGAGTCTTGTAGCAGAGAAATACGTGTCGATCATAGGCACTGACGGTGCCGGCGAGGTTGCTCTGATACATCTCCTCTCGTCGGAATCCATAGTTCTCGTCGTTAGCGACGGAGATTGATAGGTTATCGGAGGCCATAGGAAAATCGAGAAAACGAGGTCAGAGATGAGAGAAGCGAAGGAAGTGGTAAATGGTAAGGGAGAGAGCGCGCTATTGGAAAGGATGGAGTAAAAGGAGCGCGGAACGAGAAGGGATTGGATTTCTTCGGCTTCTGTATCTCATTTGCTGACGTTTTAAGAGGCTACGGTCTCACACGCGCGTCCGAATTTTTTTTATTTTATAATTTATTTATGAACATGCCAACGTATGATGCGTTATCATTTTTACCGTGGATTTTTTATCGGGATAATTCAGTTTTTACAGACCTTCATAGATTTTGAGATGCTTTTTTTTTTAATCTCGTGTATTTATTATATCTAATTTTATGCCTTTCGTGTTAATTGATAACTGTTTCTAATTTTTAAATTTATATTTAAATTGAATTATAAAAAAAGTTATTACACAATTATAAAATAAAACCATTTCATCTTAATTATATAGATTCGATCTTTATTTCAATAATATAACGCCACCGGCATATTATAGGCTCGTCCGTAGATGATAATCTCTCTTTTTTTTTTTTAAATTACGACGAGACTTTAGAGCAATTATTAGAAATATGAAAAGGTAGATATATAAAAAGGTAACTTTTAAATATTCTCCATTTTAGACTTATTCAAATTTCCTTTTTCCATTAGATTCTCGATAGAATTAAAAAATTAGGAACAAAATTAACGTTAGTAACTACGGTTTACCTTAAAAAAATTGTTTTTAATAATTTAATATTTGACTATAAAATTGACTGAATTGTTAATTATTACAAGATTATTGAAAACGTCTAATTAATTAAAGGGGATTAAAAACAAATTTATTAGTTTCACAAAATTTTAATCAAATTTAATTATTCAAATAAGTATAACTCAACCTAATTATATTTATTAATTTTAATTAAAAACAAAAAAAAATAAATTGAATTAATTGAAATTTTTTAAAGATTAAGTGTTAAATTATTGTTTAATAACAAAGGCAGATTAGAAAATTTGCTAATATAATTTTATAATTTATGTTTGATACATTTAATAAAGAAAGGTAAATTCGATGACGTATAGCTCTTTTTTTATTATTTATTTTGATAGAACGTGTATCTCCCTGGATTAAAATATTGAAAATATCAAATTTAATTCAATTTTTAAATCAATACTTTTTTTTTTTTTTTTTTTAATGTCACCATCAATATATTTAACCAAAGACAACTGGCTGAATCTTCTATTATTACATAATTTCATTAAACAATAATTAACGTCGGCTTATATAATATGTTACGTTGTTAATACTGGTAAGCAAAAGATTAAAATATTCAATAGTTAAAGTTTAGTTTAATAATCATTTTGTTATTTTTCTATTTTCTTTTAAATTATATTAATTTATTCACAATTTTTTTAAAGTTTTCACATTACATAAAAACACGTGTAATTTTAATTTTATGTCAAAATATAAAAACAAAATCAAGTTTTTTTTTATAAAAAAAAGTTTTTAAAATTTGAAAATTAAGTATACAAACAATACATCCACCCTATAAACTTATTTGTTTTCTTGTCATTTTTAGCCATTTTAAAAAAAAATCAAGCTAAATTTAAAAATAAAAAATAAAAATAGTTTTAAATCAAATGCCTCCAAGGAATATGAAAACTATATTAAGAAAATTAGGAGAAAACAACATAAATTAAAAGAAAAAACAAAAAAAAACGGAATTTACATGTTTATAAGATCAGTAGCCCAAATTAATAAGCTTTAGACTTATATCCGATAAATCTTTTAACTTTCAATTTAATGTTTGATAATTCCCCGACAAGTTATATTTAAAAATATATCGAGTCTGTCAGGATTATGCACTCGAAGTAGCTCAAGAAATGATCATTGTAGTAACATAATATCAGGACGAACATTACAGATTATGATACAACAGTGAAATAGTGGGACAAACATCACGAGGTATCAAGATTTTTCTAACAAATTTTGTAGATATAAATTCAAGATGTACCTTCCTGTGGACAAAACATCAAGTCTCTTTTCACTTGGTTCATACTTCCCCTTCCTCAGCTGATAGCGAAGAGTTACAGCTGAGATAGTGTATGTTTGGCCTTCTATTGTCACACTCTCCCCGCATTGTAAGTTCTGAAACAAAACACAAAATCAATCATTTTTTCCCCCCTACACATAAGAAACTAACACTTCTTTGGTAAATGATCCATAAAAATAAGAAAAAAGGCATGAAGAGCCCAAGCCTAAACGCACTGCTAGCAGATGTTGTCTACTTTAGTCCGTTACGTATCACTCACCGTCAGTCTCACGATTTTAAAACGCGTATACGAGGAAGAGGTTTCCACACTCTTATAAGGAATGTTTCGTTCCCCTCTCCAACCGATGTAGGATCACGCAATCCACCTCCTTGGGTCCCAGCGTCCTCGCTGGCACACTGCCCAATGTTTGGTTCTAATACCATTTGTAACATCCCAAACCCACCGCTTGTAGATATTGTCCGCTTTGATCCGTTACGTATCACCATCAGCCTCACGATTTTAAAATGCGTCTACCAAGGAGAGGTTTCCACACCCTTATAAGGAATGCTTCGTTCCCCTCTCAAACCAATGTTGGATCTCACAATCCACCCCCCTTGGGTCCCAGCATCCTTGCTAACGCATTGCCTAGTATCTAGCTCTGATACCATTTGTAACAGTACAATCCCACCGCTAGTAGATATTGTTGGTTTTGGCCCATTACGTATCGCTGTTAGCCTCATGATTTTAAAACACGTCTACCAATGAGAGATTTTCACACCTTATAAAGAATGCTTCGTTTCCCTCTCCAATTGATATGGGATCTCACAAAATCACTCCCAAACATGGTGTAAGGTAGTTTTCTGTGGTCTCCTATGGTGCACAACTAGGTGGGGAAAGTTTCTCTTGTATTGTACCGTCCTTGAGCAAGTATCTCTATTGCGGTGCTCACCTTGGAGATGCAAAATTTTACATTTCAATCTTTTTAAACTCTCAATGTTCTTATATAATTTTCTTGATATAAGGAAAACCAAAAGCAAAAGGAGCACTTCGTTCTTCACTTTACCCTTGTGCTCCCCAATCTCACCATTGTTGCAACATTCAAGTGTGGAAAATAGTGAAGGCGTGCCTAGTTGAACAGAGGCTAAGTGTCTTGCCTACACTGTATTCTTTCCCTAACTGCTTAGCATAATTTTATTCACTTATTTATAAGAGTCTCGCTTCTTGATTGCTTCTGGTCTTGAAGCGATTAAGAAACAAGGAAAGCTGAATGAACTCAGTAGATCAACCAAGATACATGCAATCAGCATAACAGTAAATTCGATGAATCAAAATCACAAAATCTCCTAAATCAAAAGAGCTTCATACATTAAAATTTCCAATGCCGACTCTGCAAAGAATCATTGTCCCTAAATGTGAAATTAAATGCATAATTTTAAGCTTGATTTCACAACGCCAGAATAACATATGTTCGTATAAGAAAGCCAATATGCAAATCAAGGACAAGAAAGAGAAGGATCGAGAGAGAAAATGGAACACTCACGGGCGGAAAGCAACGAATGCCTAGATTCTTCGGCGGAGGAGTGATTTCAATGACTTTGTAAGGGTCAAAATTGTTGCGTTCCTTTTCTTTCCTTCTGCAACAAATTTGGAGAACTCGTGTCTGCAAAACGGCCATTATTTTCAAGAATCCAAACTCGATTGAAAACACAACTAAAACAACGAAACAGTTCAATCGCTTGGAGAAAACAAAAGAAGCAAAATCAATAGTAGCCTTACCTTCTGATGAGGACCAAGAGCTAGATTGAAGGATGCCATTGCCATAATCTTTCTTCTTTCAACCGTCTCGCCGTGCTAGTGGGAAGAGACGGAGAGAAAACCAGGAACATCGAAAGATTCTTCTGTAATTTCTTTTGGTGTTCCATTTTAACTTCGTGCACACAGGTCGAGGGGAAGAAGGAAGGCCAGAAAAAATGTTTTTTATTTTCACTTTAAAAAAAAAAAAAAAAATCCGATATTTTAAGAATTAAAATATAATGTTAAATTTTCATTTTGGTACATCTACTTTCTTTTAATTTCATTTTTAGTCCATGAGAATACGATAAAGTAATGGTGAATCGAACCAAAGAACCAACCGGGCCGAATCAACGGGTTCATATTGGTTTATTATAATACCGAACCGACCGACGAGCCCGAATGTTGGCCGGTTCATATGATGGTTAACTGAGCTCACATTCACTTCTTCTGCCCTTTTCTTCTTCTTCTTCTTGGTTTCCATTTTTGCAACAGATTCAGAGCAATTGGGCGACTGCAAAGAGCACCTCTTCCGATGGCTGAAACCGAGAAGCCAAAAACGAAGGCGCGACCGATTGTGCGCCTGGGAATTTTCCTAATTTCTCACAGTATTTTCTTCAGGTGCGCTGTTGTGATTTTACATGGATTTGATTTTCAGTTCGTATCAGAATCTAGTGATTGATTAATGTCCTTGTGATTTTCTTTTATTTTTTGGCTGTTTTCTAGCGTGATTTGCTTCTCTGCAGGGGTTTTAGCTCTTCTGTTACTACCAATGTTTGCTATGAACACCTACATTTCCGAGAACGCTCTCATGCCAGGTCCCTTTGATATTCATCATTTTTTGTATTTTCGTGATTGAACGCCAGTTCAGTCGAATGATTTAAGATATATTACGAATTAGGATTCATTTGAAGCTGCGAAGTATCTCAAATTATAGGATCATCAAATTTATGCCTTCTTGTTCTTTTGCACTGATCTATTCATTTTACCTTTATTTGGATAGAACAGGTCTCTTAATTGTGCCACTATATTTTCCCACAGGTTCTGCAAATACCATGCTCTCGGGTCAGGAAGTCTCAGAGGCGAACGACTTGGTGAAGGATCTGAAGGGTTTGAATTCGAAGTCTGGCTCAACGATCTTGTAAGTACTTATGCACTAGTTTTATCCCTTTTACTTCTCCTTTAATACCTTAATGGAAGCTTTTTTATGCTTAAGATTTTGAGAATCACCACTTCTTAGTGTAAATTTTTTCTACCTTAAGATTATGATAAACAAATTTGATTTACAATACATTTTTCAGTGGAAGCCAGCAGATTTTAGCACAATATATATCAAACTTGGGTGCAGAAGTTAATTACCACAGGTTCCAACCGCAATCTAGTCAGTTCCATCCATTGCACTTTTTTTCTAGCCCTGATTCTGGGATCGTTCAGGACAATGTTAGTTGCATGACACAGGGTATTAACACTGTTGGGATAATAAGAGCACCACAAGCAGATGGAAAGGAAGCCATCGTTTTGGTGACACCTTACAATCCTGTTAAGACTAGTCTTCATGAGACTTTGTCTCTTGGTATTGCTTATTCAATATTTTCTTTGCTTACACAAGTCAGTTGGTTGGCCAAGGACATTGTATGGCTTGCTGCGGATTCACGATATGGGGAATATGCAGCAGTTTCAGCTTGGCTTAGAGATTATCACACTCCTTCTTTTGGTCGATCCAACATGATTGACACATATACTTGTGCTGAAACAAATGTCCTTTATGAATTTGAAGCAAACCATGTAACAGAGAAAGAGAGTCTAGATGATTTTAAACGTGCTGGAACGATGGCTGCAGCACTTGTCATTAAGGTTTCAAATAGAAGTGAACACTTTGAGGATAGTCTTAGTGTCTATGCTGAAGCGTCTAATGGTCAGATGCCGAACCTCGACCTCATCAATATTGTGAATTATCTAGCAGAACACAGACAAGGTTTTCGGATTAAGATCGAGAAATTTTGGCCTTTACTTGATTGCAAATGGCTCAAGTTTTTGGGCGAATTTTTTGAGTCAATAGGAAAGTTTATCCGAAGCTTGAACCCTGAATGGAAGTTTGGCATGCTAGCTTCTGACTATGTCGATGGCACCGCTACACTTGCAAGTTCATTGTACTACCAGGTGGTTTGCACTTCTGTTCATATTCTTGGAGATTGTTGTTTATGACTTCATTTAATGAAATAAGGAAAGATTTTTCATTAATGTGAAAAATGGAGATTATTTCACTTAAATTATCTATGTTCTTTTTGCCATTAGGCTGTGGGTATTCCTACTGGTTCTCATGGAGCTTTTCGAGATTACCAAATTGATGCAATTACTGTGGAGATGTCCCCCAAATTTTCTTCTGGTGTCAAGGTCAGGCGTGATGAATTCATACTGCGAGGTGGCCGGTCAGTGCTCATTTTTGCCTCAAGGATTTTATAATGTGCTCTCCTCCCACCCCTAACTTTTCAGGGCTCACTACATGAATAAATGTTTAAAACCAATGGTTTCCTTAATGGGGTTCGGTCTACATTAAACAATGTTTTCTACTCTTATTTTAATTAGACATCATTTTCCATTTTTATCTTAAGTGTTTCACTGTCGATCTTCAATGTTTAAATTTTAATTTGTAACTAGTTTTAATGGGGGCATGAGTAAATACTTTTTCTTCCCTAAAATAAATTTTGATGGACTGATAGTTTCTCTTTTTAAATGACTAGAATTTACGTGTTAAATTCATTCAAGTGAATTTATTGCCTAAAGTCATTTTGATGTATGGAAATGAGTTTAGATTTTAACGCCTCGAATGATCAAAATATTCATAATTGGATTTGAAATTAGAAGTTGACAACTTACCGCCCAGCTTGCTGGCAATTCTGCATGCTAGCAACGAAACTCTCCTGATCCTTTTGATTTGGCTAAGGATTCTGTATTTGGTTGTGCAGGCTAATTGAAGGAGTTGTACGGTCAGTGAATAACCTCTTGGAGAAGTTTCATCAATCATTCTTTCTATACCTTATGGTATCTACCAGCAAATTTGTATCAGTTGGTGTATATATGATTGCCTTTGCTCTCCTAGTTGCTCCACTACCAGCAGTTGCGGCCTCTCTCTATTCTTATGCTAATAACTCGAATCTAACCTTGGAAAAAATCGAACCTGCAGCTCCAGCAAATTCTGATGATGAGCTTATTGTCTCTTTAAGATCATGGAAATGGCTTAATGCTGCAAAAAGAGTTTTTGTTGTTCATCTATGGGGTGCTGTTGTTTCATTGCTTCCATACTTCATCTCCCAAATACCTGGTTACAGTCCCACAACAAACTCTATTATTTGGGCGTTACTTTCACTGCTCACGCTACTAATTTTGTCGGTGATATTGGGCTCTCCACTTAGTTCAACTAAATCTTATGAACAGCGGATTCAAGAGTGGGCGTTCTTGAAAGCAATGACCACCTCAGCGGCCTTTATCGGTTTGTGCCTCATGTCAGTAATTAACTTTGCTACTGCAGAACTTGGAGCCTTCTTGGTGGTGTCCATGTGCTTGCTGGCGCATCCCCTGAAGCTTGATTTAGTGGCTGGGAACTTCAAAGCTCTCTCAAGGGCAGCCAGTAACCTCGTTTTGGGATTCATAGCTTTTCCGCCTGTTACTTTCTTCTTGTTTAAAGCTGCTTTGCAAGGTTTTGACAATTTACATCTCGGGGACTTCTGGAACTGGATGGAGACCCTCTGGGCATGGAACAGTGCTACTTTCCTCTACTTAGGTATGGTTCACCTTCCTTGCTGGGTATTATGTACACAAATTTTACTTCATCCATGTTGAGCTACCTTGTTTAGTTTTTTCCATGACATTTGTTTAGACTTTCACTTAGTCCTGAGAAATTGGTTTCGATGGTATTTGAAGTAGTTACACGTTCATCCCTTGCATGGTAGCTTCTGTAAGCAGGCCTTAAAGCCTACTACTTTGTGTCACAGTTGTTTATACTTGTAGGACTGATACAGTAAGCTTTTACGCTCTTGGAAATTGTTTTTGGCTATTTCTCTTTTCGAACTAATTGGACAATCACCTTCTCTATATCCAATGATCAGTGTCTCTTGAGTTTCTCTCTCCAATTACTGCATTTAAAGATTATAGCACATAGGCAAATGTAGAATTTAGCAACAAATTAGCTGCTGAGGTTTCTTTTAATCCTTGTGAGCCCGTGACTAGGTCCATCCATAGTGTTTCTATGAGATCTTAGATTAGTAGGAGAATGAAACGAAACATTTCTTAGGGTGTGAAAATCTTTTCTTAGAAGACGCGTTCTAAAACCTTAAGAGGAAGCCCCAAAGAAAAAGTTCAAAGAGGACAATATCTAATAGCGGTGAGGTGGGGTTTCTTTCTCCTCGTGATATTCTTCAAGGGAATAGGTCCTCGGTAACATGCACCTCTTGTTTCATATTTTCGTACTTTTTTGTTTCCAAACTTCTTATTAGTATAAATTTTGGAAAGCACTTTGTTTTGGGGGTCAATTTTGCATGGTCAACTAACCCTAATTTTAATTTATTAATTTAATTGAATCCTTTTGTCTGAGACTTAGAAAAAGTCGGCCACCAATTAAGGTATATTAATTGGCACTTTTTAAATGCTCTTTTTTTTTTCCTTCCATGCATCCAATATTATTTCGAGACTTGTTTGACATTACCTACAATACTATTACTTTTTTTTCTTCTTTTTTTTTATACAACAAATATAAACCTCTAATTTTAATGAAAGAATTACTGGTTCATTATTATTAAACTATGTTCATATTTTCGAAGCTTTTTGTCTGTATTTTGTAAATTTTATTGATAAAAGAAAAATTATATGTTCATATACTATTTATTTGGGATATTTTTAGCATGTTCTTTCAATGAATGTGGAACATAATTCATGTTGTTAATTTATTAAAGTTTATATTAGTATTCCTAATATAAATTTTTGAAGCATATTCACAGATTCATGCTACATTTTTTTTTTTTCCATCAAAACTATTATTAATTAAATAATTTTAAAATATTGAATTTATGATTTATTGTGCATACAAAAATTAAATATAGACATTTAAAGGTATATAGACAAAAATAAAATGAAATCTAAAATATAGAGACTAAATTGACATATTAGTTAACATTTCACATTTGTTTTTAAAAACCTATATCACACATAAATTAGGTTAACGTAATAAAAAAATAAGGAAAAAAAAAACGATAGCCTACGAGAGGCGCACGTGGGAGGTGACGAGGACACACGTGGAAGTGGGAAACGAATGGTAGATAGCCGCCGCACCACCCGCTTTTCGTGGGCTTAACTCTTCTTTTTGGCGCCAAAATGAATGATTTCAACAGAATACTAAATTAATAAATAAAATCATATAAATTTTATTTTATTTATATAATAATATTTATTAATTTTTTTAAGGAAAAAAAAAACATAATTTCCAACAAATAAATAAAATTGTATTTCCCGCCAAAGTCCCCGGGCAGCTCGGGCAGTAGCCAGGGGTAAACAAAAACCGCGTCAAATTCAAAATTTAAAATAATAATATTATATGTCTTTGGATTCCTTTGAATGGCCACGTGTGTCTGTCTACCAAACCAAACACTCTTTTCCCTCTCTAACATTGGATTTCCTTTTTTTTTTTTTTTTTAATTTAATGACAGCAAAAATAAAAATAAAGGAATATTCAATTAATACACTTCTAAATAATGGTATATCAATTAAACTGATATTTCATTCATATATTAAATAGCGAGGGTTTAATATTACTATTAGTACACTTCAATTTTATGTATCAACTATACACGTGTTTTATACATCATTGATACATTTTATAAAAAAAAATATTATTTTAAACGTTACATTATTCATCTTATCTCATTGACGTAAGAGCTACATACTTCGAATGGGACAACTGTAATATACATAAGAGGTAAAGAAGCACGTGGAACTAAATTCCACGAAATTTGTGAAATATGTTTCTCTCTCTCTAAGGAATAGATTTTGGTATGGTCTCCATCACAAATCTTTAGTACTCCAATTAATTCCCCATATTATTATTATTATTTTAATGTTTAATGTCTTGTAATTTCCTTACCTTATTATTTCTGAAATTTATATTTCACCTTATAACCGTTATTTTAGTATTATTATTATTATGATAATGATAATATTAAACCCATAGAGAACAGAGCAATTTGGAAGTTTTATTGGTGTGTTTCCTAGCAGGAAACACATGCAAATTTCAAAATAAAATTGCAAAATAAATGAAAATAATAATAATAATAATAATTTAGAAATGCCAAACAGGGTTGGTCTGTGGTCAAGCGGTTTGAACAAGAAGAACAGCCACAACTTTCCTTTTCTTTTATAAATTTTCTCATCTGGGTCTGTTTGTTTCCCGAGAAAATTTTAGAATTCCCAAATTTTGAAACAGAGCTAAGCTACAACACTCGTTTAGATAACAAATATCAAATCCTTTGTACATCATAATCACCATACTCCTCAGGATTACCAAGAACATAAAAAAAATTATAATACTAAAATTAAACAAACACCCAAAATCACAAACCCTAAATTATGAACTAAACAAACCCAATTGCCCCACTAAACTCGGATCTTAAACACAGATTCTAAATCAGGAGGATTAAAGAACTCCCTACCATGATTTTGATTAGAGCTTGATTTTAGCGACCTACGCTTTCTCGGCGCCGCCGGGCAACTCAGTTTCTCCGGTATTCTCGCTTCTTTCGCCGTCGGCGTTGTTGAACGCGACTTCTCGCAGTCGTCCTCGCCGTCTTTTGCTCTAGATTTTGTGCTAATCGGCTTCAACGATGACCTCGCCGGCAGCCCGGCGATTACCCATTTTTTCCCTTCTGCTTCTAATCCGCCGTCGATTTGCGACTTTTTTGAGAATCCCATTCGGAACTCGGATGTAATATTGGGGGGAAAAAGGGAGTAACGATGAAAAGCAGAGGAGGCGAAAAAAACAGAGGAATCGTTGAGGAACAAAAATGGAGGACAAAAGAGGATTTTGTGGAAAAATAAATAAGAAAGCCAAGGACAAAGGGGGGATTTTCATTATTTCTTTTTTCAATTATATTATTTTATATTCGGGTAGCGCGTAACCTTGACCCAAAAGCCGTCTAACAACAGAGATTCTCCGCAAAGGAGGCTGCCCGTGTTTCTTACGGGCAGGCGTATATGAGTGAGGTCTGCATTTTGGCGCCAAAAATTGGGAGTTTTGGTCGCCAACGGCTCTTTTTCCCGCCTAAGTTTTCTTTTTGTTGTTTTCCGGTTTTGCCCCTTATCATTTCTCTGGTCTGGTGGAGTGGGAGTTTCTGCCTGTCAGGGCTTTTACCAGTGGATAGAATGGGCCACAGCCCATTTCACTTATCAATGGGCTTTCATTTTGTCTAGCCCATGACTTGTCATATTACTTAATTATCATAGTAAATGGGCCTTATGAAATCCGCTCACTGACATCTGACGCATCACTGACAGCATTCCACGTGGACCATTTCGCTTTTTTCCACCTCACCCAATAGAGATAAATAGCTAACATCCAACGGCTGTTATTCACTTATATTCCAGTGGGCCCCATCGTGCCTTGGGCCCACTGTACGGGCCGACCTCTGCAAACTGAATAATAGAGGACCTTTGTAACTTTTTGTATGGTAAATGTCGTTAAATGTCACCCTTTTAGGTAATAGGTAATTATATATAGTAAATGGTTATATATAATAAAGCTATATATATAGCAAGCTGAATTATATATATACCTACGGTAGAGATTTGAAAATGTATGTGTTATCTGTATTCTCTTTTACTGTACATATTTCGAGTCATCCATACGAATTTTTTAGTCAATATTCTCCTTGCATTTTCTCTATCCTGTTATTTGTGTTTATCTAGATGAGTGCGATCCTAACAACTCCTCATTTTAGATTCAACTTTTTTTTTTAATCTCAAAAATAAAATTTCAATATTTTATATTTTACATTTTTTAGAGAGAATTCTTTTTTCTTCTTATTATTAACTCTCAAAAAAAAAAAAATTAACAATTTAAAATGTAATTTTTTAAAAATTACAATAATATGGTAAAATTATTTGGCCCATTACAATTTCTTTTTGGGCCTACACATTTAGTGGCCCAGTTTCTTACCCATCTCATTTGTTTGGCCCATTAAAGTCTCCTGTTGGGCCCAGGCATCTAGTGGCCCAGTCTCTTATTTTATTTTATTTTATTTTTAATTTGTTTCTCAGCGTCCAACGGAATGAAACCTGTAGTTCATGCAAACCCTCAACCTCCAAATCACACATCCACGTGTCACCCTCATCGCCACCTCCACTCCTCCATATATCCTTCCCATGGCTTCTTTCTTTTCTCTCCCACTTGAATCTTCATCCTAATTCGTCACCACCTCCGCCATGGGTGACCGATCGCCGCCGCGCCAGGTCCAAGTACACCACCAACAACAACGCCCCTCCCACCTCCAAGAACCCACTTGGAAGCTAACTGGTGGCCGCCACACGGACCAACAGCACCAAGGCCCCTCCGCCTCCAAAATCCTCGCCGTCGTGACCCTTGTCCCCGTGGGTGGTACACTGCTGGGGCTGTCCGGGCTGACGTTGGCTGCCACGCTGTTCGGGCTGGCCGTGTCGACGCCAGTGTTCCTGCTGTTCAGCCCCGTGATCGTGCCGGCTGCTGTGGCGATATGCCTGGCGATCGCAGCGTTCATGACGTCGGGGGTGTTCGGGCTGACGGCGTTGTCGTCGCTGTCGTGGGTGTACAGGTACATACGGGGGGCGACGGGGACGGTGCCGGAGCAGATGGACATGGCGAAGAGGCGCATGCAGGAGATGGCTGGGTACGTAGGGCAGAAAACTAAGGAAGCTGGGCAAGAGGTTCAGAGTAGAGCACAAGAAGGAAGGAGATCAACAACAGAACAGCGAACCTAAGACCATGTTTGTGTGTGTGTGTGTGTGTGTGTGTGTGTGTCTGTGTCTTTGTCTGCTAAATAAAATGGTTTAATTAATGTTAGAATTATGCTCCTCTTTTACTGTCGCTTTTTTTTTTTCTTTTTTTTTCGTTAAAAAACAGTGTATTTTGTGTATTAACGTGTGTTTCGACTTTTATTTAATTCGGTATTAAATGTGTCTAAATTTCTTTTAAAATCAAGAGATTGACCGTTTGTAATGTGTGTAAATTTCTTTCTACTAATTTTCTTTTCTTTTTTGAATTCCGATCAAGAGATTGACAGTTTTAATAACCGATAAATTTAGGAAAATGATTTAGATACTTTAGCTAGAAATTATTACAAATAATAGGTTAATAGGTCAAAACACAAGTAATAGGTCAAAACAGAAGGTATATTTTAAAATCTTAAAATCGTGAATCGCGATGCATAACCGACCAAATGATGATATCGTATACCTTTGTCATTTAGTTAGACACGTTTATCGAGAATGAACCCATTAAAATCTACTAGTGAGTGTCTAAACCCATTAGAATCCACTTCTTGGAGAGTGACTCTACCTTGTTAAACAAACACGACTCTCCACAATAGTATGATATTGTCCATTTTAAGCATAAGCTCTCATGGCTTTGTTTTGGGCTTCCCAAAAAGCCTCATACCAATGGAGTTAGTATTCCTCACTTATAAGCCCATGATCATTCCCTAAATTAGTCGATGTGGGACTTTCATCATCCAACACCTCCCCTCACAAAGCACGCCTCCCCTTAATCGAGGCTCGACTCCTTTGGAGTCTAGTCATTTTTGACTGCCTTCGTACCTTCGAAGAGGCTTGACTCCTTTTTTTTTTTTTGGAGTCCTTTGTTCGACATTCGAGGATTTGCCAATCTATTGGCACGGCTAAGTTTAGGGCATGGCTCTGATACCATGTTAGATGAACACGAACAATATCATACCATTGTGGAGAGTCGTGTTCGTTTAACGTGGTATCAGAGCCATGCCCTAAACTTAGCCGTGCCAATAGATTGGAAAATCCTTGAATGTCGAACAAAAAACTCCAAAAAGAAAAAGGAGTCCCCTCTAGATTAAGGGGAGGCGTGCTTTGTTTGAGGGGAGGTGTTGGATGATTCGAATGAGGCCTTTTGGGGAAGCCAAAAGCAAAGCTATGAGAATTTATGCTCAAAGTGGACAATATCATACCATTGTGGAGAGTCGTGTTCATCTAACATACCTATCAACTTCTAATAAAGTATAAATCCTCTCGTGTCTATATCAAGTCATCCATACATATGTATCGAAACTTCCAATCGAGGAATAAACCACTCAAAGCATATTCCTCTCGAAGCATAAACTCTCTCGTGTCGAGGTGATCTTATATATCAACTTTTTAACATAGAAATTAAATCTAAATTGGGGGGCCAGCAGACAATCGTAAGCAGGAGGCTAAATTACCAAAAAGCCAGCCCTGTTGACCATATCCACAGAATTACCAGGATTCCAGACAGGCAACCGCGTGTTTCGACTTTCGAGCATTTTAAGAATCGGTTACCAAATTCCCAATCCAAAAAAACGCATCAGAATCCCATTCCCATCCACACAGAGAGAAAGAGTGGCAGTAACTTTAATTACCCGAAAAGCCCAGGGGCAATTTCGTAATCAGGTTTCATTATAACAACAAGACACAACAACACGCACTTGAATCAAATCAAATCAAATTCTCAAAAAAAAAAAAATAAAAAAAAAAAAAAAAAAAAATGAAAATGGCTTCTCCATCTCCTCTCCAAATTTTCTCACTCAAATCCTCGCGTTCTTCCACCTTAATTTTCGTAAAGTTCAAAACTTTCATCCACACTATCCTCTTCTCTCACTTATGTCGCTTGGCTCGACCGATCTTTCGAGCCAAGTCGACAGTCGTTCAAATTCTAAAGAGAAGCAATCACTTCAAGAACAAGAACAAGAACAAGCTCATTTTCGGGTCGTTTAGACTCCACTACAACTGGTGCTCTTCCCACGTAATGCCCGTTCTCGATCCCACGTGGGAAGGGCATGTTGACTACAACCATGCTGCTGCAGCTTCCACCCCGGACAGCCCACAGCTGTCCGGGTATTTGCAGTGGCTGGAGGAGAGAAAATTAGAGGGCGAACCGACGATGACGACGACGACGACGACGACGGAGGTGAACGAGATCGACAAATTAGCGGAGATGTTCATTGCAAGATGCCACGAGAAATTCAGGCTGGAGAAACAGGAATCGGCTAGAAGGTTTGAAGAGATGATTGCTAGAAGCATGTGAAGAAAATTTGAGAAAAGAACACAAAAATTGTTGGTGGGTTTGATTGGGTGTGGTAATGTTTTGTGAATTTCTTGTCTAATGTATATTATTTATTTACATCCTAATCAAAATTAAGCTTCTTGATTATCATCTACTGGTTTTTGTTTGATTTTGTTTTCCAAAAGCGAAATATAATGAGATTATGAACAGATTTAGTGGTAAAAAATGAAACCCAAATGAATTGCACAAAATTGGTCATATGGATGGGGGAGAATAAATCAGACAGAGCAGTATGGAATTGGATGAATCGCTTTCAATTTTTCGTTTTTTTTCCAGCTTTTTTGGGTTTATACGGTGTCGTTTAGTTGAAACATTACAGACAATTTCACATGTCGAAAAGGGAAAGGAGTGACCAACGACAACCATAGAAACAAGAAACAAAAGGAGTTGTTGTCCATCTACAACAAGAAAGAAAGAAAGAAAGAAAAACAACTTCCATCAAAATAATGACTGTAACTCAATTTGTTCGGGTTTGAAGCTACGAGTTTTGTTATATTAAGGGTTTGTTTGAATTAACTTTTTAAGTGATTAAAAATGCTTTAAAAGTCGATCCCTTTTCAATAATTTCCTTGTTGGAAGTGTTTTTCAACTATGTGAGCACTTTCTCGTACATACATTGCTAGTTGTAATCGTTTTGACATAATACCTTTAATTTGTTCGTTCATTTTTTCAACCAAAATCACATGTTAGTAAGACATTTGAAATCATAGAAAAAAACGTAAGAAGCTAAATTCAAAACGACAAAAAAAAACAAAAAGCAGCAGATGGGTGACGAGAAAAGTATGAGTATTGGGGTCTTATTAGCATATAGTTTCTCATTTATAAAGATGTCCCTAAAATGATCTAATCAAAAGAACATAACATACATCCCTTTTCCGTACTAAATTCCCTGTTTGAAAGCATATTACAAACCACTCTCTCCAATTCCTGCGTCATTCCTTCTCCCTTGGGATCAATGCCAATAATGATGTGCTTCCGGCCCTGCTACTAAAGTTCTTGTTGTTTTATTCATTTCATTTTTAAGTTTGATGCACGGATTAGCCTATTTTCATATTTAATCTCTTGAAGAATGTTTAATGCTTATTTCAACTTGGTGCCTAAACTCCTTTAATGTAAGACCCTATACACACAAATATAAAAAGATTCAGAAATTAAATCTGGGTATGCAATATAGCAGATTACTAATGTTTTAATAATATGAAACCTTTGTGTGTGTGAGAGAGTGACAGAGAGAGAGAGAAGTGGATCACATAGCTTTAAAGAAGAAAACAGAGACCAGTCAAGCATTTATATGCTTTTATTATTATTATTACTATTTTATTTTTCATTTTGAAGGCAGGGAAAGAATCCTGCTTTCTGAGCAATGTTTGTTTCTTTATTCCAAATCTCTCTTTTTTCATATATATATATATAAAATATTCCAAACCTCTTTATCTGCTTTTGGTTTCCATTTGAGAGAGGGAGAGATTGGGGTTTTATGAGTGTTTTTTGTGTTGGTAAATTATTCGATTGGGTATCTAATTCCTTATTGTAAGCAATGCCTTTACCTGTAAAAAAAAGTGAAAGGCATAAAAGGATTTCTTGGGATTTTGTCCTTCTACTTCTCGTAAGTACTTCTTTCTAATCAACTTAGCACTTTAATTACATTCTTAATTAGTAGTCCTAAACTCTTTTAGAACCTATAACAAAAACCTATTCCAGTTAAATTTAGAAGGCTGGATTGGGTAACTAGGTAAGCTTAGCATATTAAGTAACACTATTGCAATATAATTTCGAACTCCTAATGTCCAGAGATCAGTATTCCCTACTTTGAGTCATCCTAAACTCCTAATACTTTTAACCAAGTGAATAAAAACAACCCTCTATCACTCATTTATTTTCTGCATAAAAAAATTTGACAATATACATCGTGGTATTAGTAACACACACCTCGATATCAAGAACGAGAAATTATTCTGTGCGACTGGCAATTGTAGGATTTGGACGCCTTTACAAATATTACACAGGCTTCACTCCGAGCGCAGACTGTCAAAATATAAAATTGAAGAGGCTGAGAAGAATCAAAAGTTAGCAAAGGAGAAAAGAGATCAATTGTTTTCGAGCAGTTTAGTTCCTGAGGAGATTTGGGAAGGATACAAAACTGACCATACTAAGAAGGCGGAGGGCGGCTGGACGGGTGAACTTCCTCGCGAAAAGAAAACATCTGGATGGTTTTCCATTACTGCTACACCATTCTCTTCGATACTCGGTTTCGTAATATATATTATCAATACGCTGCAGAAGATAAATGTTCTTAATTATGATCCAGGGAAAAGGTCAAATGAAAAGACGAACGGATCATTGGCTATTTTGCTAAATATTGGTTGCTGACTAAATGAATACTAAATCAGATTCCACACTCGATTGTGCTAAGGAGTATAGTGAATAATCCCATTCTTATTAGTGTGTTACAGAGGAAGTCAGATAAATACAAGTTAATGATTTTAAATTTACTTAAAACCTTGAGCTAGCAAGTGGTTCAAGTATTCATAGAACATGAGAAAAATGGTTATAAACAGTATTTGGAAGTGCTACTTCACTCGAGGTGATGAAAATATATGTAGTCACAAAATTTGTATGTTAAGTACCTTTATAGATTGTATTAGATCAAGTGTAGCGTCTGAAAATTTGTATGTTACAGGATGCCAATTACGACGTTCGTGGTCTTTGGAATACGAGAGATCCCATGCTGAATATGAAAGTGATCTTCGTGTGAGCTCTTCTTCAAGCCCTTCTTGCTGAATCATGAAAAAATAAATTATTAATAACCTGAACAACAAATTTAATTAGCTCTAGAAAAAAAAAACAACAAATTTAAATATAGACATGTAATGGCTAGTATGTGAATCACGCAAAATTTTGACTGCATAAGCAATAGTTCTTCAGGAAAGTTTCAAATGTATTGCCTTTTCCATTATTTGCTAAAAACTCGTACTTTTGTCTCACAATTTCAAAGTTCGGATCATAAGATGCATTACCACGTAAATAAGCTTTATTAATATATAGCTGGAATTTCAGCTTATAAGCAAACAAAATGACGGGTTCCAAGTTTCCAGCAATTATGTCAATGTTCAGAAGTATAACGCTCAGCTATTAATATTGCATTAACGACTGACTAAAAGCAAGTTTTTGGAAAAAGAGTGCATGCAGTGGTCAAACAAAGGATCACAGCATGCTTAGAACGTTCAATGTTATATTCCTCTTTAGATAATCAGCCTAGTTTTTTGAAATTGAAATAGAAATAGCTTTAATATAATATTGGAATGAGTAAACATCTTACGGCCAGTAAAGTTTGAACATAATGTTCATCAGGAATACAATTGTGTTCCTTGGATCCATCCTTGGGCTGCATAACAATAGTTGTAAGACATAAGTACACCATATTTGGTCATAAACTCTATAAACAGGTATAGCAATTAAATTAATATTAGTTCCTTCGTATTAAATCTAATTTATTTATAATACATGCTGTAATTATATTGTTAATACGAGACCCAATCGCATTTAGAGAAATGATAACAAGAAACTGCTTAAGATTGAGAATTCTCACAAATGGACGATCACGCCAAAACTCTGGTAGTGACTTCCTCTGCATAACCATCCAACATACATCATCAGTTGAATAGTTAGTACTAGTCCTAAATTGGTAAACAAACGGGTATTGAAATATTTATAAGTAAATGAAAAAAAAAGTGACCCAAGAAGAAAACATGGCATACATATAAAAAAATTCTACAAGATGGCTTGCCTTGCAATGCTGTTCAAACATAGGAAAGACTGTAATGTCCTTCACTACAACCTTCGCGTGCTTTCTTGTCAATACAACCCACTACAAGAGGATAATGGAGGTCATGAGAAGTCTGCAGAAAATTACATTGAAAAGAATATATGATTTGATTGGGTTATCAGATATAATGATACCTGAGATCCTTTCCTCCAGTTTTGAACAGGAATTACAGGATCCATTTTAGGATTGTAACGCCCTTCTTTTGTATCAGCAAAACTGTTTCAATCACTAGCTTGTTAACATATTAACCACCAAAAGGCTACACAACTTGGGTAACACTTTAAATTCCAGACGCTGAAATATATTAAGATGTGGATGATTCACTTTCAACTTCGAAATAGAGCTATGTATGCATAAAAATTAGTGTGTTTACCTGTCCACAAAACTAGTCGAAGTTGACATGACATAGTCATATGTGTAGTTGAAGTTGTATAATGGTATGCAGCTGTGAAAAGATCAATTAACTGAAACATTGTAAGGCTTGACTAATCCCCATTAAAACAACCTTCAAGAAGTCCTTCACTCAATTCAGCAAACAAATATCTTCTACCAACAAAATTAGTAAATGTTCTTCAAAACTTTTGTGAATTGAAGGACAAAAGGGCCTCAAAAGAGGATATAAAGGCTATTCACATCAAGTCTCACCTGTCAGAGAGAAAAATAAATCGTTGATTTGAAGTATCAGTAAGTGCATGTCTAAGCAAGATGCGTTCTGCCTCAACCATGCTTGCCTTACCCCAGTCTACCTGGTATAGAACAACAACATGAGCATGGAGATAACCTTTGCAGTGAAGCAACACAAACGACAATGAAATTTCCTTGTCCTCCTTGATCTAATAAATTTATATAGACTTAGAAAGGGAAGGCCAAAGAAGCTCAATAACCCTACAAACATTTTTATCTGTGCACACAAATACAAAGCGCTGTAGGCGTATCAGATTTGTTGAGCTGCAGTTTCCAAGCAAATGATTAACTACTACTTTTTATGATGAAATTCCTTTGATGCTCTTGCAGCAATCTTTGGTAAGCAGCAAAAGGCACTAACAAGTAACAACTACATATACTCGAGGAATTATACATATAATTAGCCGCTAAATTAGAAGTCAGTATCCCCAATTACTTCGCCATAGTATCAATTTGCGGACAAGAATCGTTACCTGTATACTATCATTAACTTGACGATTCAAAAAATAGATCGATCTTGTCGTCGCCTTGTTAAATAAAAATCCTGGCCTCGAGTGAACAAAGATCGAGAACTTATTCTCCCCCTCCTGCAAAAAAAAAAAAAAAAAAAAAAAAAAAAAAAAAAAAAAAAAAAAAAAAAAAAAAAAAAAA